ACTGATTGAGTGCGCGATATCCATGCCACCAAGGAAGGTCGTCGGTCTTTTTTTCCTTGTTGGCTTGGCTTCCCGCTCCTCCAGCTGGGGGTATGTAGGGTGAAGCATGAGCTGGCGAAGCTCCCGGTTGTCCCATGTCCCAACCCAAATACGTTCTTCAATACCCGCCAACTATCTCGCGGCAGCGGCCACACTTTCCTGCACTCCGTGTAAGGGTGACAGTCATTTGTTCTGTTGTTATGATGTTATGCTTGATGAAGCCACCCCTACCCCATGGTTGATACCGAGTCGAGCGATTTCAGCGATTTCTAGCAATCTCCCCGACAATGTATTCCAGAGGATAGGGGGGTGGTATACATCAGTGGTGATACCGTACGCCGAATACCCACTCAAACGCGAAATGGCGCGGCCAATCAGCCGCCGAATACGCCTATTTTATCGTTCGCAGAGAATTAAAGTGCTCGGTGCTGCTGTCTCGTACGCAGTATAGTCTTCCGTAGGATTCGACGCTCGCTTGTTCGATGTGTTTTGCGTCTGCCTTGATACCTGCGCTCAGCTCGCGACTCGCCTCAAGACTGACTAAGACCGTGGCTGCAACTGGGCAATATTCGAGAGCGGGAAGCTGACCACCTTCATGATGGATAGTTGTTGTCCTCATGCTCAGAATTCCGCCAGTTTTGCCAATAAAATGACCCTCTCCGGTTGCCATCGACCCCTTCCAAAGTACTAGGTGCTTTATTGAGAAAATGGCCAGATGAACACACACACACATGTTGTGCATGCAGTCTTTCGCGACCCGACGGAGGGATCGCAAAGGCTACTTTTGCCCTGAAACTCTTCGGGTTGATACGTCGAAAATGATGTCCTGGTACCAGCCGTTGCCTGTCGGAGTCCCGCCTACGTCAACACTCATCGCTGCTATTCCGCTGCTCGTCTGGACAAAGAAGGCGCATCGATGGTGGGCGTTGTAGTCGGCGTTGCAGCCGGCGCGCTGGCGTTAGGGGCACTGGGGTTCTTCCTATATCGCCGACGGACCGCGAAGAGCATGGACCCCGAGCCGCCGGCCCCTCCTTCCAACGGTGGGGACAGGCTGGAGCACGGCGGTGGTGAACAGCACCAGCAACGGCAGCAGGACCTCCACGCCTGTTCGCCGATGATCGCCGGCTCTGCCGGGGGCAACGTTGCTCGCGGCCCGCCACCTGCTGATCAGAAAGTCTCCCCGCTGCCACCCCCACCATATGAGCATGATGATGCACACCGACGCGATGCTTTGCCACCCGCCGCCAGTCAGCAGCACGCGGCAGTCGCTGCTGGGACGAAATTCGGCGAAGATGGCACGCCTATCCCATCGTTACTCCCAGCGCCGCCCGTTGGCGCCCTGGCGAGGCCCAGCTCCGAGGGAACTTCCAAGTGCAGACGCGACAACAACGAACGGAGGACGGCGAGTGCGGGCCGGGGCGGGGGCGATGCGGTGGAAGACGGCAACGGCTGCGGGGCGGCAGCCGAGCAGTCCTTGCTGCCGTCGACGACTACGAATCCCACAAACGACGTGTCGACAGAAGCATGGACGGCCGAGGTTGCCGGCTTTGGAGTTTCGGCGGAGGAAAGGGCCGACGGCGCTCCTTCGGCGACTGCTCCTGCTCCTGCGGCTGCCCCTGCTGGCCGCCGACGGACGTCAAGCGGCGTCGGGTACGGTGAGGCAGCACTGGCGGCGGCCGAGGAGCTGGCCTATCATTGCCAGATCCCCGGCGTCAGCGAGGCGGCGACGGCGGTGTCGATTCTGATACACTTGGTCTTGGACAATCGGGACTTGACGAGCAGCGCCGGGGTTAAGCGGTGCCTGTTGATCGTGAATATGCTTGGGCGGGCGGCGAAGGTGCTTGGCAATGTGAGCGACATGACTCGTGCATGCTGGAGTGTGCACCATGCTTTGTTTTGTCGCAGCATCCTGCCTGACGTAGAGGCGTCAAGGATGTGGGCACCATGCATTGTTCTGTCGTATGTATCCTGCCTGATTGGAGGCGTCAAGGATGTGGGCACCATGCATTGTTCTGTCGTATGTATCCTGCCTGATTAGAGGCGTCAAGGATGTGGGCACCATGCTTTGTTCTATCGTATGTATCCTGCCCGATTAGAGGCGACAAGGATGTGGGATACACGCCTTCTTGGCGTATATACTTTAACTGAAATTTTCAGGGGTTCAAGTATGTTCAAAGATCTGTCACGCGGTGTCGTTCGATTGTTCCTGCAGAATTGCGCAGTTCTCCGCCACAATGCCAAATTGAGGATTTTCACTGCAATAAGTCGTTTTCTTTTGGGTTTCGTTTGAACCTTACAACCCCGAAGCTGCAGTTTGTGTATAATGAAGGTTTGCCGTCCTTGTCCGGAACGCAAGCCTTCATTTTCACCGCGGGTTCGAGCGGTTGGGCCAATACGTGGTCTGTACTGGTACATTGTTTTTGTGCTGTTTGAAACTTCGAAGAATAAAATGTTCTTTGTCGCACAAATTATCAAAAGAACTGAGGAGCACATTCTTCGATCAGATTTGAAAGCATTGGTTCTTGTTATCTTTTTATGGTCAGAGTTGGATTAGGAACTGCAAAACGAGTGCGCAATAGGGGTAGGAACGCGAGCTATTTGGGTGTTTGCTTAGGCGACGCCCACACGGCCCACACGGCTCTTCTCTCTGCTGCTGTGCGACTGCGGTGTGATGTGTGCGAAGGCAGGCTCATTGATGTTTCCGTTGTGCAAACGTTAGCATTCGATGAATCGTTGTGCATGCCTCGTATGCATGTTGCTATGTACATGTAGGGTGGCGACACGAGTACGGAGGAGGAGCGCGTTTTGATCAAAGAAGTGCGCGACGCTGTCTCCGATCTCGTGGAGCTGATCAAAACTTTCCAGAACAAGAGCAAGCTCGGCAAGGTGTTGACATCGACCCTGTTCAAACGGCGCCAGGACGAGCTGAACACGGTTATCGACAGGGCCATCGGGGGCCTAAATGTGAGTGTCGTGTACCGCAACAAGTATGCCATCATGTTCAGTATGGATTGCGTCTCGACTGCGCAGCCAGCTGCGCTAAAACTGCTCAGTTGTCTCTGTCACGTCTAGCTTCTTCTTCAAGGTGGCTCTGTACATGTCGTTCATTGCTTTGAAATGTCGATGTTGGGTTTGGGTATGTTTTTGTCCCGTGCCAGAAAACACGATTTTACCTTTGGCAACGCGGGGTACAACTTATGGGAAGCCCTCGTAGAGAGGTCGTGCACGGTTGCAATCGGACGACTGAATAGTAAAGGAATAGGAAGGACTCTTGGCGTCGCCTTACCGCCGGCATTTTCCCATGTTTGCTGCTTGGTGTCGTCCAGTTGGCCCTGCAGGTGCAGATTGGGCACGACGTTGGGCAGGTTCGACGCGCCGTTGAACGCTATGTGGAGGTGAGGGCGGGACACGGAGATGAAGCGAACTCTTTGTAGAATCCTTCGATTTCAGACGCTGCTGATGCTGTAGCCCGCCGCAAGATTATGCCTCGGCGGCTTGTACTGACCACGGGCCAAGCCAGGCTATGCTCATGGGCCCTCCGTGAACGCGGTAGCCATGTACAGGGGCCCTATCGAGGACACTCCGTTTCCACCTTCTTCACCGAGTCGCCTCACCTTTTGATCGAATCGCTTCTGTGGTCGGGAGGGTTCAGTCAAGCAACTTAGGACGTTTTGTGTTTGGCCATGTGGACCTTGATGTTTTTCGTTCGTCTCTATTTACCAAAGGTCAACGGCGAACGCTCAGGCTCAGGTAGAATCTCTGGCGCAAGCCCGCAGGTCGAGGCGGCAGCACAAGCGAGACGCTCCTGATGCGCGCGAAGGACAAGCCGACTACAACATCACAGCCCGCCCCGCCTCCACCACTGAGTGACACGACGCGCAAGTTTTGACTAGGGTTTCGAGTTGAGGCGAGAACCAGGGGTGTAGGAGATGATGGGCAGGCTGCCATCGCTTCTGCAGGCCAAGTCGGGTGGGCGAGGCCAGGATTAGTCGGGCCGTGCTGCGAGAGGCACGGCAGGTGCTGCGGGATTTGTGTGTTCCACCGAGCAGCCACCAAGAGCTGCGTGGTCGTCAGGGAGGGCGACATTGCGGGAGGAGAGAGCAGCAGTAGGCCGGACGTGGATGGCGCCCTGGTGCGGGCTGTTGAGGTCCCTGCTGAAGGTGTGTTNGGCCTGGAGGTATACAACACCAATGTCTGCTGGGGCGGGTCTGGAGACAAGGCCGGAGCGGGAATGCCCGCGGGTTGTACCCGCAAGGTATGTGGCCCGCGAACACGGGTGGAGAACACTCGTGTACACTTCAGAGTAGTGTGTGCTCTCTTGTGTTATCCCCATTAAGGAGCGTATAGGAGGGGGCACGCGAACCCAACCCGCCGTGTGTGCGGGGAAGGGTACCAGAAAAACCTTGCTGGCCCCGATGGAAATGCGGGGAGAGAAGTGTTTCCTGGCCCCGATGGATAGGCGGGGTATCACGGGAGTTGTGTGAGAAGTGCTGGAGTATTTGGCCACACCCATCAGCACGGCAGTGGCCGTGGCTACCTTCTACCAAGAGCGGGAAGGGGGCAGCGAAAATCAAGGCGCGTGGGGTACCCCGTGCACTCTATATCATCAGCTGGCGGGGCCCGGAAATACGTAGCTGTGGGATGGTGGATTTCAAAGAAACGAGAAAGCCGTCGTGTGCCTGCCTGCTACGCGCTACACCGAGGAACTTCGGGACGCCGAGGGACTTCGGGTGTGGGCGGGTGGGGATG